CTGAATACCGTGAAGGCTGCTCCCCAGTCCTTCACTCTTGTCGCTCCGTCTGAATACCGTGAAGGCTGGGTCCCCACTACCCCACTCTTGTCCCTCCGTCTGAATACCGTGAAGGCTGCTCCCCAGTCCTCCACTCTTGTCGCTCCGTCTGAATACCGTGAAGGCTGGGTCCCCACTACCCCACTCTTGTCCCTCCGTCTGAATACCGTGAAGGCTGCTCCCCAGTCCTCCACTCTTGTCCCTCCGTCTGAATACCGTGAAGGCTGCTCCCCAGTCCTCCACTCTTGTCGCTCCGTCTGAATACCGTGAAGGCTGGGTCCCCACTACCCCACTCTTGTCCCTCCCTCTGAATACCGTGAAGGCCGCTCCCCAGTCCTCCACACTTGTCCCTCCGTCTGAATACCGTGAAGGCTGTTCCCCAGTCCTCCACTCTTGTCCCTCCGTCTGAATACCGTGAAGGCTGGGTCCATAGTGCTCCAGTCTTGTCCCTCCGTCTGAATACCGTGAAGGCTGCTCCCCAGTCCTCCACTCTTGTCCCTCCGTCTGAATACCATGAAGGCTGCTCCCCAGTCCTCCACTCTTGTCCCTCCGTCTGAATACCGTGAAGGCTGCTCCCCAGTCCTCCACTCTTGTCGCTCCGTCTGAATACCGTGAAGGCTGCTCCCCAGTCCACCACTCTTGTCCCTCCGTCTGAATACCGTGAAGGCTGCTCCCCAGTCCCCCACTCTTGTCCCTCCGTCTGAATACCGTGAAGGCTGTGTCCCCAGAACCCAACTCTTGTCCTTCCGTCTGAATACCGTGAAGGCTGCTCCCCAGTCCTCCGCTCTTGTCCCACCTTTCATGTTGATTCGCGGTGTGATGCTGTCTTGCTGAAACATGGTCCAAAGGCTTTGTTGCAGTGAAAACCAGGGCGAAATACCCCATCCCGTAGCATTGTTCCGTGAGTGAGTGAGTGTGTTAGGTTTAACGCCGCTTTTAACAGTATTCAAGTCATACCACGGCGTGTCAGCTTAATGTGGGAGGAAAGCCCGAAGTGATGCAGGTCTCAGACGTTTACCACTTTGGTGAAACCCACGAGCACTGGTATGGTGCTGACAAACCTAGAAACATAATCGGGGCGAACCGGGATTCGAACCCACAATCATAGGTTTCTGGCGTGCTCAAGGGACGCAACTCTGCGAATCGCAGCGCCTTAGACGACTAAGCCACCCGTCCCCCCGTTGTGCCGTGAAATTGCCGTTGAAAACTACGTTGTCTGCTGTCCACAGATACCGCTCAAACCGTGACGCTACCAGCAACGAAAGGAACGGCCTCCTGATTGCAACAACGTGCCGTCCCTCTCCCCGTCGACGGTGAATACGAACTCTGCCATCATGCCAGAAGAGCTGAAATCGACTTTCGTTAGAAAAGAGAACCAGTGAAATCTTTGATGTGGATGTTGAGGCGTCAAGGCTATTCCGTGGTACGGTTTTCATTCACGAATCCCATGTTTCCGTAGCCTCCTCGATGCAGTTGTTCGACTGACAGGGCTGTTGCTGACGATCACCTCACTGTGGCGAATCTGTTCCTCAGGTGTATGACGTGTAGATACCGGTCTTCTTTGCATCACTTCGGTCTTTCTTGGGGGGCACGGGTGGCCAAGTCGTCTAAGGCGCCGCGATTCGCTGTGCAGAGTTGCGTCCCTTGGGCACGCCAGAAACATATGATTGTGGGTTCGAATCCCGGTTCGCCCCGATTATGTTTCTAGGTTTGTCAGCACCATACCAGTGCTCGTGGGTTTCACCGAAGTGATAAACGTCTGAGACCTGCATCACTTCGGGCTTTCCTCCCACATTAAGCTGACAGGCCGCGATATAACTGTAATACTGTTAAAAGCGGCGTTAAACCCAACTCACTCACTCACTCACTTCTGTAGGGTGTCGTGACGGATGGCCTACCACCCCTGGGGAAGTGCACGGTACGGCCACTATGCCGGTCAACCTTGTGATTGCAGTGCGGGTACAACTGACACGTGACCTTGTGAAGCTCCCATCTGTATCATACGTGTTGCTGTGTTTGTTTGTTTGTTGTTTGATGCCGCACTCAGCACTATTCCAGCTATATGACGGCGGTCTGTAAATAATCTGGACCAGACAATCCAGTGATTGATTTCCTGAGCATCGATCTACGCAGTTGGGATCGATGACATACATCAATAAAATCAGCGAGTCTGACCACCCGATCCCGTTAGTCGCCTCTTACGACAAGCGTAGCCGCCTTTTACGGCAAGCATGGGTTGCTGAAGACCTATTCTATCCCGGATCTTCACGGGTTTCATAGTTTTGCCCTTTATCTCTCTTCTGTCAACAGCCTTCGCATGGTCGTTTTGTTTTTACTCCCATGTGGGTGACATCGAAGACAGCCTAACTCCTGTTATAACCTAACTGTTCAAACAACATCGTGCTGCACGTGTCACAAACCTTCACGGTTAGCCATTTTGTACGAGATCCCGTTACCAGAATTGTGGCTTTCAGAAACACCCGTTTGGGTGATTGATTTACATCATTTGTTTTATTACGACAAATTATTATTTAAAGTTAAGTATAGTTTCTCTTGTCCGTGACTATGTTATTTATCTGCCGAGGAATCAGTTCAAATAAAGCCTGCTTTATGTTCATAATTAAACCGTCTAGCAAAAGAACGTATACACTTGAAAACTGGATTTGACAAAAAAAAAGGATGCAAACGTTACAAAGCTGAAACCAGTCGCCAAAACACTGTACGCGTCCAGTCCAAAACACATGTATGACACCCGTATAAAAAACGTGTTTGTTTCATTTTTAGCCACCATCAAACATTAGTGTTTTCTTTCCTTTTTCGTGGATGTATATTGGGTTTCGACAAACATGTGTTTATATCTACACCTTAACAAGGTAATCAGAATACAGTATGCCAGTGACCATATTGATCAGCTGTTGAGACGTTTTTGTATCGATCACGTGAATCTGCCAAGAAACAAAACCAATATTTATGTCGTCAAAACAGTTGATGCTTGCATTCGGCTAGACACAAGATCATATTTACTTTCGACAAGACTCAAGAGCATATTTACTTTCGACTAGACACAATTTTCCCACCATACACAAACTTCACGTAGTTCCTTCAATAAACGCAACGTTTGAGAATTGAAGTATATGTTTTAATGTTTGCTAGGAGGTGAGGTGAGGTGAGGTGAGGTGAGGTGAGGTGAGGTGAGGTGAGGTGAGGTGAAATGGGGTTTAAGGTCGCGTCCAAGAATAAAACCCCTTTAGAGCGACGTGCATGCACGTGTGTGTGTGTGTGCGTGTGTGTGTGTGTGTGTGTGTGTGTGTGTGTGTGTGTGTGTGTGTGTGTGTGTGTGTGTGTGTGCGCGTGCGTGTGTGTGTGTGTGCGCGCGTGCATGTGTGTGTATGTGTGTGCGTGCGTGCGTGCGTGCGTGCGTGCGTGCGTGTGTGTGTGTGTGTGTGTGTGTGTGTGTGTGTGTGTGTGTGTGTGTGTGTGTGTGTGTGTGTGTGTGTGTGTGTGTGTGTGTGTGTGTGTGTGTGTGTGTGTGTGTGTGTGCGTGCGTGTGCGTGTGTGTGTCTGCTTGTACTAGTCCGGACTGAAATACAATGCTAATGTTTAACATGAATACACCACCCACACACAGTATACTGACTCCGACCCTACCAGACCTTGCTTTAGCCCCTTAATAGCGAGTGCCAGGCAGGGCAACAACAGATACAATCTTTCAACGCATTTAGGTCAGGCAAAGAAAGGGATCTCTCGGTCACAACATCAACTTGATGAATAGTACGCGGAGTAACCCAGGCGAAAACTTCAGGGACAAATTGTTCAGTTTCAATTTCATATTATACAGCAGTGAACGTTTTAACACCAGGACACTGAGCAGGTGAACCTGCTGAATCACAGGAGTCTGTCTGAACCTGTGTTTAAACTTACTTAAAATTCAACTCACTGACTGGCTTTGTTAAAATGTGTCGTCATTCGTCACAAATGTTAAATTTGGAATAAAACTTTCTCAGTAAAGTACAGATTCACGTACTTTTTGGGCTGACTCCCGTCCGGGATTCGAACTCGCACTGCCAGAGTGAAGCACCTAGTCGCCAGCACACAAAGTCAGCGATCTAACTCACTCAGCCCCCGAGGCTAACCCACTCAGCCACCGAGGCTTCCACCGAGGCTTCCATGGAAGACCTGGTAGTCTAGATTAAGTGTTATCCCAAATATAACATTTGTAACATTTGACCACTTTCCCAATGGCATTTTGTGTTCGCGTCGGCTTTCATTGCATATTTCCGGAAAAAATGTAATACCGGCTCCCCCGCTGTTTCATAAAGGTGTTGTGTTGATATTTGAAAAAAACTCAATGTCTATCCTTTAGCGTACATCCAACTCGTGATTAGAACATTAGGATTAAGGGAGAGGTCTGTAAGAGGGCACTACACAATCTATAAGGTCTGAAGTGATCAGAGCAAGCAGAAGGTGTCGCGTTTAGTGATTGGTCGATTGATTGCAGTTAGTTATTAGCCTCCTCCAAGAATGAGGAGTTGAGGTTAGTACTGCTTGTCAACCAGTACTGGATGCAGAGTCCTCCCAGTATCATTGCATGCAGCCATCAGAAGTCCCTGGGGCAGTGTATGTCACTCTGCCTCCAGTCTTCTGATACAGTCTGATCGGTTTACGATACTTGATTTCAGCATTCTACGGTTTATATTTGAGCACTGAATATGTGTAGTTAATCAATCAAAGTGTTATTATTGTTCCTGTGACAGTTCAAATAGAAATATCGATATCATTCAACTCCGAATCTCTTTCAATATCCCCGTAGACGCGGAGAAGACATGTATACGGTAAACGCTGAGATGACTAGCCCTCGCGACAATTCTATTCACCTTTCATAATGTTGAATAAAGCTGTTTTCACGTTGCCAACAAACAGTCATAGTTTCTAAGGTGTTATTTTCACCATTAAGACTTGCTACAAACAGACTGGAAGCACTCCTCTCCAGTGAAGAGCTTGTACAATGGGCTTCTCAGACGCATCTCTTCTCACCAAGGTTGCGCTAGGTTTGGCCATTGCCAGTTTTCTGTTTCACATAATTGGATTCCCGACAAATAGCTGGCTGACTTTCTCCACGTCTGCGGGGACGAGACACGTGGGCTTGTTCAAAGTGTGCGTTGTGGATGTATGTGTTGACATCGACTCCTCCGACTGTGAGTATACAGTGTCACGTGTAGATACATGGATACAGCGTGTGCAGTCCCTTGAATATACAGCTCCGTAAATACAGCTGCTTGTGTTTACAACCCCTTGACCATACAGCTCCTTAAATACAGCTGCTTGTCGTCATAGCCCTTGACCATACAGCTCCGTTAATACAGCTGCTTGTCGTCATAGGCCTTGGCCATACAGCTCCGTAAATACAACTGCTTGTCTTCACAACCCTTGGCCATACAGCTCCGTAAATACAGCTGCTTGTCGCCATAGCCCTTGGCCATACAGCTCCTTGTTTAAATACAACTGCTTGTCTTCACAACCCTTGGCCATACAGCGCAGTAAATACAGCTGCCTGTGTATACAGCTCCTTGACCATACAGCTCCGTAAACACAGCTTCTTGTGTTCAGAGCCCAATGCGGTCGGGTAGCCTAGTGGTTAGAGTGTTCGATCGTCACGCCGAAGACCCGGGATCGATTCCCGACATGGGTACAATGTGTGAAGCCCATTTCTGGTGTCGTGATATTGCTGGAATATTGCTGAGAGCGGCGTAAAACCATACTCACTCAGTCACTCACTCACAGCCCAATGACCATATAGCTCCTAGTTAAATTATAGTTGCTTCTGTTTACAACCCCTTTATCAAACAGTTCAGTGTAGTGTGTTTATGTGTTTCCAGGAGTTGTGTGTGTCTAAAGGAGCTGTATGTGCTTCAATAAGCTGTATGTGTTTCAATGAGCCGTATGTGTTTCAATATGTGCTGTATGTGTTTAAAGGAGCTGTATGTGTTTAAAGGAGCTGTATGTGTTTAAAGGGGTTGTATGTGTTTAAAGGAGTTGTATGTGTTTAAAGGAGCTGTATGTGTTTAAAGGGGTTGTATGTGTTTAAAGGAGTTGTATGTGTTTAAAGGAGCTGTATGTGTTTAAAGGAGCTGTATGTGTTCAAAGGAGCTGTATATGTTTAAAGAAGCTGTATGTGTTTAAAGGAGCTGTATATGTTTAAAAGAGCTGTATGTGTTTCAATGGGATGTATCTGTTTAAAGAAGTTGTGTGTGTTTAAAGTACCTGTATGTGTTTCAATGATATGTATATGTTTAAATGAGCTGTACATGTTGAAAAGAAATGCATGTGTTTAAAAGAGCTGTATGTGTTTCAAGGATTTTTATATGTTTAAAGGAGCTGTATGTCTTTAAAGGAGCTTATGTGTTTAAAGGAGCTGTATATGTTTAAAAGAAATGTATGTGTTTAAAAGAGCTGTATGTATTTAAAGGAGTTGTATGTGTTGAAAAGAGCTGTATGTGTTTATAGGAGCGGTATGTGTTTAAAAGAAATGTATGTGTTTAAAAGAGCTGTTTGTGTTTAAAGGAGTTGTATGTGTTTAAAGAAGCTGTATGTGTTTAAAGGAGCTGTATGTGTTTAAAAGAAATGTATGTGTTTAAAAGAGCTGTTTGTGTTTAAAGGAGCTGTATGCGTTTAAAGGAGCTGTATGTGTTTAAAGGAGCGGTATGTGTTTAAAAGAAATGTATGTGTTTAAAAGAGCTGTTTGTGTTTAAAGGAGCTGTATGCGTTTAAAGGAGCTGTATGTGTTTAAAGGAGCGGTATGTGTTTAAAAGAAATGTATGTGTTTAAAAGAGCTGTTTGTGTTTAAAGGAGCTGTATATGTTTAAATGAGCTGTATGTGTTTAAAGGAGCTGTATGTGTTTAAAAGAGCTGTATATGTTTAAAGAAGCTGTATGTGTTTAAAGGAGCTGTATATGTTTAAAAGAGCTGTATGTGTTTCAATGGGATGTATCTGTTTAAAGAAGCTGTGTGTGTTTAAAGTACCTGTATGTGTTTCAATGATATGTATATGTTTAAATGAGCTGTATATGTTGAAAAGAAATGCATGTGTTTAAAAGAGCTGTATGTGTTTCAAGGAGCTGTAGATGTTTAAAGAAGCTGTGTGTGTTTAAAGTACCTGTATGTGTTTCAATGATATGTATATGTTTAAATGAGCTGTATATGTTGAAAAGAAATGCATGTGTTTAAAAGAGCTGTATGTGTTTGAAGGATTTTTATATGGTTAAAGGAGCTGTATGTCTTTAAAGGAGCTTATGTGTTTAAAGGAGCTGTATATGTTTAAAAGAAATGTATGTGTTTAAAAGAGCTGTTTGTGTTTAAAGGAGTTGTATATGTTTAAAGGAGCTGTATGTGTTTAAAGGGGCTGTATGTGTTTAAAGGGGTTGTATGTGTTTAAAGAAGCTGTATGTGTTTAAAGGAGCTGTATGTGTTTAAAAGAAATGTATGTGTTTAAAAGAGCTGTATGTGTTTAAAGGAGCTGTATGTGTTTAAAGGAGCGGTATGTGTTTAAAAGAAATGTATGTGTTTAAAAGAGCTGTTTGTGTTTAAAGGAGCTGTATGTGTTTAAAGGAGCTGTATGTGTTTAAAGGAGCTGTATGTGTTTAAAGGAGCTGTATATGTTTAAAGAAGCTGTATGTGTTTAAAGGAGCTGTATATGTTTAAAAGAGCTGTATGTGTTTCAATGGGATGTATCTGTTTAAAGAAGCTGTGTGTGTTTAAAGTACCTGTATGTGTTTCAATGATATGTATATGTTTAAATGAGCTGTATATGTTGCAAAGAAATGCATGTGTTTAAAAGAGCTGTATGTGTTTCAAGGATTTTTATATGTTTAAAGGAGCTGTATGTCTTTAAAGGAGCTTATGTGTTTAAAGGAGCTGTATATGTTTAAAAGAAATGTATGTGTTTAAAAGAGCTGTTTGTGTTTAAAGGAGTTGTATATGTTTAAAGGAGCTGTATGTGTTTAAAGGAGCTGTATGTGTTTAAAGGAGCTGTATGTGTTTAAAGGGCTTGTATGTGTTTAAAGGAGTTGTATGTGTTTAAAGGAGCTGTATGTGTTTAAAGGGGTTGTATGTGTTTAAAGGAGTTGTATGTGTTTAAAGGAGCTGTATGTGTTTAAAGGGGTTGTATGTGTTTAAAGGAGTTGTATGTGTTTAAAGGGCTGTATGTGTTTAAAGGGGTTGTATGTGTTTAAAGGAGTTGTATGTGTTTAAAGGAGCATTATGTGTTTAAAGGAGCTGTATGTGATTAAAGGGCTTGTATGTGTTTTAAGAGCTGTATCTGTTGAAAGAAGCTATATGTGTTTAAAGGAGCTGTATCTGTTTAAAGTACCTGAATGTGTTTAAAGGAGCTTATGTCTTTAAAGGAGCTGTATGTGTTTAGGGCGCTGTATGTGTTTAAAGTACCTGTATGTGTATAAAGGAGTTGTATGTGTTTAAAGGAGCTGTATGTGGTTAAAGGAGCTGTATGTGTTTCAATGAGCTGTATCTGTTGAAAGAAGCTATATGTGTTTAAAGGAGCTGTATATGTTTAAAGTACCTGTATGTGTTTAAAGGAGCTGTATCTGTTTAAAGTACCTGTATGTGTTTAAAGGAAGCTGTATGTGTTTAAAGTAGCTGTATGTGTATAAAGGAGTTGTATGTGTTTAAAGGAGCTGTATGAGTTTTAAGGAGCTGTATGTGTTTAAAGGGGTTGTATGTGTTTCAAGAGCTGTATGTGTTCCAATGAGCTGTATCTCTTGAAAGAAGCTAGATGTGTTTAAAGGAGCTGTATCTTTTTAAAGTACCTGTATGTGTTTAAAGTACCTGTATGTTTTAAAGGAGCTGTATGTGTTTCTCGAGCTGTATGTGCAAAAAGTACCTGTATGTGTTTAAACGACCTGTATGTATTTCAATTATGTGTATGTGTTTCAGCTGACTGGTGCTATATATGTTTCAGGCGCTGTATGTGTTTAAAAGTGGTGAATGTGTTTCAAGGAGATGTATGTGTTTCAGCTGACTGGTGGACTGCCACTAAGGCCCTGGAGGTCCTGGGTTTTCTGGTCGGCCTCGCTTGTCTCGTCCTCCTCGTCGTCTTCATCTTCCTCAAGACCGATCTGAGCATCCTACACATCGTCGCTCTCGTGGCAGCCTTTGTGGCCGGTGAGTCTCTCCATCAATGTCACATAATCAATGTCACACACGATATATAATCAATGTCACATAGGATATATGATCAATGTTACATATGATATATAATCAATGTCACATAAGATATATAATCAATGTTACATATGATATATAATCAATGTCACATAGGACATATAATCAATGTCATATAATCAATGTCACATAAGATATATAATCAATGTCACATAATCAATGTCACATAAGATATATAATCAATGTCACATAAGATATATAATCAATGTCACATAGGATATATGATCAATGTCAAAAAGGATATATAACCAATGTCAAATAGGATATATAACCAATGTGACACACGATATATAATCAATGTCACATAGGATACATAACCAATGTCATATTTGATATATAACCAATGTCACATATGATATATATGCAATGTCACATATGATAGATAACCTATTGTCACATAGGATATATAACCAATGTCAATTATGCTATGTAATCTATGTCACATATGATATAAAACCAATTTCAAATATGATTTATAACCAATGTCAGATAATATATATAATCAATGTCACATGGGATATATTGTCAATATCACATAGGCGTCAACAATCTTGACGACTGCTTCGCAACTTGTTTATAGGAATGATCCACTCGTATAACTGTGATCACTATTCTGCCAAATGGAATTTGTCTGGGCAGATATTCGACATTGATTATTCTCTTGATTTGACGTTTTGAACTGGTGTGTAGGAACCATCTATGTTATTAATCATCGTCACCTTTCGGGTTGGTTCGGTATAGTCCGGAACCTACACAATCGGTCGGTCACAACTGTATGTGATTCAGTATGGTTTAATTCCGCTTTTAGCAATATTCCAGCAATATCACGGCGGGGAACACCAGAAAAAGGCTTCACACATTGTACCCATGTCGGGAATCGAACCCGGGTCTTCGGCGTGATGAGCGCCCCTCTGTCAAAACAGGAGTAGTGATATTAATTTACTTCACTTATCCGTTTACCGCCAGATACCACCTCGTCAAGTTCCTTAATGTGTTGGCCATTTTACAAACAGTCTATCGAATCTATAAATACACTATAGAAGGTTAAGATTGAACAAGAACCCTTTCACCGTTTACATCCGGGTCTCGACTGCGGTCAAGTTTGTCGTCATGTGATAGTCACGTGGTTGAAGTCCAATATGAATTTCTCCCAGCAGCAGTCGAGATGACTGGATCGGGAAACCGATCGTTTTTGTTTGTAGTGTAAATAACGACTGAAAAGATGGACACACACAACATTCACTTGTATTTGCCGTTGACGAACACATCATGACAACTGGCCGCAACACACACAGGTGGTGCCAATCTAGAGCGCTGATACATCCATTAATCTGTTATCCATTTTTTTCAAATAACACTTACATTGTTTTAATTTGTTGCAAACGTAAATGGGGGCTGTGCAGAAACCTATGATTGTGGGTTCGAATCCCGGTTCGCCCCGATTATGTTTCTAGGTTTGTCAGCACCATACCCGTTCTCGTGAGTTTCCCCGAAGTGGTAAACGTCTAAGACCTGCATCACTTCAGGCTTTCCTTCCACATTAAGCTGACACGCCGTGATATAACTGGAATACTGTTAAAAGTGGCGTTAAACCCAAATCACACACACATACAAACATAAATATATTAACGCTCACTGGAAGTGTTAAACAATAAATTATAACACGTTACGAACTTGTTCACAGACGAAAAAGAAGAAACCTCTGTATTTCGAGTTGTTTATTTTGTCTGTTTATGAGATACAAAATGACGAAAAACGTGCGAAATGTAATTCCTACAGAGACACTTTCCACCAGTCAGTCTGTTGGTAACATGACGTACTGTTATCGAATCGTGACGTCATAAACAATAGTTATCTGGAGACGTCTGACGTCATACCGCTTCAGCTGACCAGTCAACACCGAGAAGCCCTAAAACGCATGCGCATAAATACCGACACGTGACTCCATTCGTGTTTCAACCTCTATGCACTCTCATTAAAATCAGATCTTAGTTCTCGCTATCGCTAAACAAAGATCTTTCATCCAACCAATCAGAGCGTCGCTTACCAGATTATGAAAGTAACAGTATGAATGTATTTTCTAATCATGCAACCACGAAGTATTGAATACGGGGTATTCCGAACGACAGTTTTTATCGACGGTCTTTATGATTATTTACATAAAATCTAGGCCATCTATTAGTCATTCCAGAATGTTTTTCTTATTAGTTTTAATTTTTATAATCGAGAATGCGTCAGAATATGTTTCGAAGCGTAGTTGCCGGTTTGAAACTAGTGTCGTAAAGCTCGAGAAAGCCGCTCCTGATTGGCTAATGTCGATTTCTTATCAGTCATTTCATTGGTCGGTCAAAATTCGCGAAAGGTTGTTCTGACGTGACCCGTAATGGGATGTCCTCAGAGTTTGTTTAGCGGTAGTGAAAACTAAGATCTGATCTTAATGAGATTGACCTCTATGGAAATTCATGTATGATGAAAGTATGCCCCATCTGAACGGGTATGTAGGCATGGCCGAACAACGAATTCTTGATTTGTCTTCCAGGAGGGTTCGTCTTGCTTGGCTGCATCGTGTTTGGCGCCAAGAGAGATGCCACGGATGCGTTCCCCGCCTACAGTATGGGCTGGTCGTTTGTCTTGACCCTCATCGGGTCGCTGTTGTACCTGGCGACTGGGGTCATCCTGCTCGTGGACAAGCTGAAGGGATGACCGTCACGTTATGCAGGAGGTCAGCGGTGACCACCCATCACACTGCAGACATTTTTGTCTTAAGGACTCATTTTTGATATCAGTTTTATATAAAAAAGGTTCACGATGTACTAGCATTACTACTGAAATGTGTGTTTCATGTGTTTCATGTGTTTCATCACCATACGCTAAAGTAGCTCGTACTGATGTGGTTAAGGTAGGACAATGATAATCTACAGGCGACAACTGTCAAGATGCATCATTTACAGTAGTATCACTTTGTATAGCTGATATCAAGATATGATCAATTCGTGTCAGCATAACAATGATATGACATGAAACGTCAAGATATGATCCAATAGTGTCAGCATAACAATGATATGCGTATATTGTCAAGATATGATCCATTAGTGTCAACAATATCAATGTATGACATATGATGTATGACCTGTCATTAGTGTTCGCCTACATTACATTTACAATGTCAAGATATGACCCGTCCTTAGTGCACACTTACACATATGAAAATAAATATCAGGATATGATTAGTGTCAGTCTACATAGGATAGATAATTACAAATACATAGAGGTTATCCCGCAAATGTGTTTGGGGATTGTAAATATCACTGGGTAAGTGATGTGTCAGTCGGGCAGTGACAGTAGCCAATATAGTTCCCACTAAAATCTGTTTCTTATACAGTGGCGATGCAACATATACGCAAAACAACAATTGTTTTTAATTGCCTTTCGCGGCAATCTATCGGTCTGTCAGCTAGAGTAACTGCACTTTGTCAAAGGGAAGCTACTCTAACCCTAGTCTATGAGACGTCACGGCCACGTTCAGACGTTGTTGACAGTCGGTCTGCCCTGTCATAACGTTAAGAAGTTACGTCAGATGTACACACAGCAACAAAAAGAAACAAGGTAACAAATGAAACATATTTCGGCCAAATCCAACTATTTTAATTTGTGGAAAAGATTTCAAGCACAGATATGGCTACTGATCCCGCTTTGCTAGGCCTAGTGCCCTCGCAAAATTGTTTCGAAATTTATATCTCCAAAGTTGCCAAAACTTATAAAATGCCTTAGCTACGTCACAGTTAGACACTGATTTTCAGTATATTAGACTGTTCTTTTGATAATAATAGAATTATCCCTTTAGTTTATAATTATCCAGATTCCCGATGGTTAATTCTGACTCGATCGCCGAATGACAAGAGCGACGCCATTTTTGTTTATAAACACTGAAAGTAGTCCCTACTTGACCTTTGATATTTGCATCTCTATCCGCATATGACCCCCAACGGATATCGTTTGTATCCGTTGGCTTTATCCTGCCGAGAAACCTACCCATTATATGATAAAATATCATATTTATAAACTGCTGGGCAAACACTTGAACATTGGATTTGACCATCACAACACTGGAATTGAAGGTCCAAACACACAACTATGTTACCCATTCCTTGTTTGTTTCACATTGAAACAAACAGGGGTGTATTCATTCTTTTACATTGCAGTTTATAGTGTTTTATCTTTATTGACAGTAGTGAATGTTTACTGAAAGCTTTGGAATTGTTGTAGCTTCTGAGGACTTAATAAACATCCATGCCCTGATACTTAGTGTATTATTAGCTTATGTTACACTACTTGTTGTCATCATTAGAAGGTCAGACCGACAGGACTTGATCTGGAGAAGTTTACATGTGTGTTCGACATGTGTGTTGTACTTGTGTGTTGTACGTTTGTGTTGTACATGTGTGTTGTACATATGTGTTGTACATATGTGTTGTACGTGTGTGTTGTCCATGTGTGTTGTACATATGTGTTGTACATATGTGTTGTACATATGTGTTGTACGTGTGTGTTGTACATGTGTGTTGTACATGTGTGTTGTCCATGTGTGTTGTACATGTGTGTTGTACATGTGTGTTGTACATGTGTGTTGTACATGTGTGTTGCACATATGTGTTGTACATGTGTGTTGTCCATGTGTGTTGTACATGTGTGTTGTACATATGTGTTGTACATATGTGTTGTACGTGTGTGTTGTACATGTGTGTTGTACATGTGTGTTGTCCATGTGTGTTGTACATGTGTGTTGTACATGTGTGTTGTACATATGTGTTGTATGTGTGTGTTGCACATATGTGTTGTACATGTGTGTTCGACATGTGTGTTGTACATGTATGTTGGACATGAGTGTCGTACGTGTGTGTTGTACGTGTGTTGTACATGTGTGTTGTACATATGTGTTGTACATGTGTGTTGTACATGTGTGTTGTACATATGTGTTGTACATGTGTGTTGCACATATGTGTTGTACATATGTGTTGTACATATGTGTTGTACATATGTGTTGTACATGTGTGTTGCACATATGTGTTGTACATATGTGTTGTACATTTGTGTTGTACATATGTGTTGTACATGTGTGTTGTACATGTGTGTTGTACATATGTGTTGTACATATGTGTTGTACATATGTGTTGTACATGTGTGTTGTACATTTGTGTTGTACATATGTGTTGTACATTTGTGTTGTACATATGTGTTGTACATATGTGTTGTACATATGTGTTGTACATTTGTGTTGTACATATGTGTTGTACATGTGTGTTGTACATGTGTGTTGTACATATGTGTTGTACATATGTGTTGTACATATGTGTTGTACATATGTGTTGTACATATGTGTTGTACATATGTGTTGTACATGTGTGTTGTACATTTGTGTTGTACATGTGTGTTGTACATGTGTGTTGTACATATGTGTTGTACATATGTGTTGTACATATGTGTTGTACATATGTGTTGTACATTTGTGTTGTACATATGTGTTGTACATGTGTGTTGTACATATGTGTTGTACATATGTGTTGTACATATGTGTTGTACATGTGTGTTGCACATATGTGTTGTACATGTGTGTTCGACATGTGTGTTGTACATGTATGTTGGACATGAGTGTCGTACGTGTGTGTTGTACATGTGTGTTGTACATGTGTGTTGTACATGTGTGTTGTACATGTGTGTTGTACATATGTGTTGTACATGTGTGTTCGACATGTGTGTTGTATATGTATGTTGGACATGAGTGTCGTACGTGTGTGTTGTACATGTGTGTTGTACATGTGTGTTGTACATATGTGTTGTACATGTGTGTTGTACATGTATGTTGGACATGAGTGTCGTACGTGTGTGTTGTACATGTGTGTTGTACATGTGTGTTGTACATATGTGTTGTACATATGTGTTGTATGTGTGTGTTGCACATATGTGTTGTACATGTGTGTTGTACATATGTGTTGTATGTGTGTGTTGCACATATGTGTTGTACATGTGTGTTGTATGTGTGTGTTGTACATGTGTGTTGTATGTGTGTGTTGTACATGTGTGTTGTATGTGTGTGTCGTACGTGTGTGTTGTACATATGTGTTGTACATATGTGTTGTACATGTGTGTTCGACATGTGTTTTGTAGATGTGTGTTGTACATGTGTGTTGGACATGAGTGTCGTACGTGTGTGTTGTACGTGTGTGTTGTACATATGTGTTGTACATGTGTGTTGTACATATGTGTTGTATGTGTGTGTTGCACATATGTGTTGTACATGTGTGTTGTACATGTGTGTTGTACGTGTGTGTTGGACATGAGTGTGGTACGTGTGTGTTGTACATATGTGTTGTACGTGTGTGTTGTACATATGTGTTGTACATGTGTGTTGTACATGTATGTTGGACATGTGTGTTGTACATATGTGTTGTATGTGTGTGTTGTACATATGTGTTGTACGTGTGTGTTGTACGTGAGTGTTGTACATATTTGTTGTACGTGAGTGTTGTACATATTTGTTGTACTTATGTGTTGTACATATGTGTCGTACGTGTGTGTTGTACATATGTGTTGTACGTGTGTGTTGTACATATTTGTTGTACTTATGTGTTGTACATATGTGTTGTACATTTGTGTTGTACGTGAGTGTTGTACATATTTGTTGTACTTATGTGTTGTACATATGTGTTGTTCATATGTGTTGTACGTGAGTGTTGTACATATTTGTTGTACTTATGTGTTGTACATATGTGTTGTACACATGTGTTGTACATGTGTGTTGTACATATGTGTTGTACGTGTGTGTTGTACGTGTGTGTTGTACGTGTGTGTTGTACGTGTGTGTTGTACGTGTGTGTTGTACGTGTGTGTTGTACATATGTGTTGTACATGTGTGTTGTACGTGTGTGTTGTACATATGTGTTGTACATATGTGTTGTACGTGTGTGTTGTACGTGTGTGTTGTACGTGTGTGTTGTACGTGTGTGTTGTACATATGTGTTGTACATGTGTGTTGTACGTGTGTGTTGTACATATGTGTTGTACATATGTGTTGTACGTGTGTGTTGTACGTGTGTGTTGTACGTGTGTGTTGTACGTGTGTGTTGTACGTGTGTGTTGTACGTGTGTGTTGTACCTATGTGTTGTACGTGTGTGTTGTACATGTGTGTTGTACGTGTGTGTTGTACGTGTGTGTTGTACCTATGTGTTGTACGTGTGTGTTGTACGTGTGTGTTGTACATATGTGTTGTACATATGTGTTGTACATGTGTGTTGTACGTGTGTGTTGTACGTGTGTGTTGTACGTGTGTGTTGTACGTTTGTGTTGTACGTGTGTGTTGTACGTGTGTGTTGTACGTGTGTGTTGTACATATGTGTTGTACATATGTGTTGGACATGAGTGTCGTACGTGTGTGTTGTACATATGTGTTGTACGTGTGTGTTGTACGTGTGTGTTGTACGTGTGTGTTGTACGTGTGTGTTGTACGTGTGTGTTGTACGTGTGTGTTGTACATGTGTGTTGGACATGAGTGTCGTACGTGTGTGTTGTACATATGTGTTGTACGTGTGTGTTGTACGTGTGTGTTGTACGTGTGTGTTGTACGTGTGTGTTGTACGTGTGTTGTATGTGTGTGTTGTACATGTGTGTTGTACATGTGTGTTGCACATGTGTGTTCTACGTGTGTGTTGCACATGTGTGTTCTATATGTGTGTTGCACATGTGTGTTCTACGTGTGTGTTGCACATGTGTGTTGCACATGTGTGTTGTACATGTGTGTTGCACATGTGTGCTGTACGTGTGTGTTGTACATGTCTGTTGTACATGTGTGTTGGACATCTGTGTTGGACGTGTCTGTTGGACGTATGTTGTACATGTGTGTTGTTCATGTGTGTTGTACATAGGTGTTATACATTTATACAAGTCTCACCAATGCAATCCATATCACATATGGCCAATGCTCTGTTGTCATTATTGCGGTCGAGAACGTTATGCCAGTTTCACGCTGATCTCACCAACCAATTTGCAGCAATATGTCGCCGTCCTGTGAATCTGGGCGATACAAACCAGTGATTGGTGCTGGACCAGCGTCACACGCCGCCTCTCACGACTTTACGCAATTATTGTCACAAAGTTACCCAGCCTGACCGCTTGATTACGTTGCCTCACCCAGCCTGACCGCCTGATTACGTCGCCCCACCCAGCCTGACCACCTAATTAAGTCGCCCCACCCAGCCCGACCGCCTGATTACGTTGCCCCACCCATCCTGACCGCCTGATTACGTCGCCCCACCCAGCCTGACCGCCTGATTACGTCGCCCCACCCAGCCCGACCGCCTGATTACGTTGCCCCACCCATCCTGACCGCCTGATTACGTCGCCCCACCCAGCCTGACCGCCTGATTACGTTGCCCCACCCAGCCTGACCGCCTGATTACGTCGCCCCACCCAGCCCGACCGCCTAATTACGTTGCCTCACCCAGCCTGACCGCTTGATTACGTCGCCCCACCCAGCCTGACCGCCTAATTACGTTGCCTCACCCAGCCTGACCGCCTGATTACGTCGC